CATCAGACGCCGACTGTACGCTTGCTAGGACTTGATTGTACTCTGAAGGTTGAAGCATGCAGCATCCCAAGTATGATGCAATTGTCAGAGGAGGACTGTACGTATGTAGTAGATTGCGCGACGCATTTCGTCATCACCGATCAGGCCTGCTGACGCCAAGCGATTATGTCATCCACATGTGATGCCAGATCACGCAGCATATCTCCACGCCAGTGACGCCCATATAACCTACCTCAACCATTGTATATCTTGATCCTTCCTAGAACCCATCATTCATGCTGTCTCCAAGATTACCGTCGACAGTTTGACAATACTCAGCTGCATTGGCCCGTCCGCTCGCAGTTTAGGCGCCAGCCTCCCTAACTCATTTCCAAGATGGCGCTGTCATGGCTATCCTACTCATGCATAGCCATCCTTCTCGCAACCGTATACATCAGAAAACGACTCAGCGTCCGCACGTCCCAAATAGAACGCGATGCTGAAGCCGAGAAACCTGGCCGTCTCAGGCTCGACGACGGCCTAACAGCGTCTGGACGGCAACTGAAAGCCAAGCTCGTCGCAGCCATTCCCCACATTGTCATCACGCCCGACAAGGCAACGGAAATTAAAGAGTCAATGAATGCGTATTGGGACCAGAAAGCATGTGAGGTGCCGCCTGCATGTGTGGTGCGACCCCGCAATGTGTGGGAGCTAGCCCAGGCGGTCAAGATTCTCAAACGCGAATTCGATTTAAGGGTTGATCGAGCAAAGGAAACGGGAGAAGAGGTGGAATCGATCTTTGCTATTCGAGGTGGTGGTCATTCTGCTGTTGCTGGTGCGTCGGGCATCAAAGGTGGGGTTCTCATCGACTTGTCGCTTTTCAAACAAGTCGTTCCTGCTACAGATGGGCGAAGTGTGGTCATTGGCGCGGGCTGCAAGTGGATTGATGTGTACTCAGAACTAGAGAAAGAGGGTCTCGCAGTTGCTGGTGGGAGAAATTCTGCTGTTGGTGTGTCTGGCCTCACGCTCGGCGGTGGTCTCTCGTTCTTCTCGCCGCAATACGGGTTCGTGTGCAGCAACGTCCTCGAATACGAGGTCGTTTTAGCAGATGGACAGATCGTGACTGCCTCGAAGTACGATAAACCTGATCTTTGGCGTGCACTCAAGGGCGGAGGAAACAACTTCGGCGTCGTGACAAGTTTCACGGTCCGTAGTTTCGCTGCGAAGAACGTGTGGAGCGGATTCATTTATCTCCTTCCATGGAAAGCCCCTGCTGTGCTCACAGCATTCCATGATACCGTCGCGAGGACACTGGCCGGTGAGCTAGACCAACGCTTCAACCCCTACGCTGCGGGCCCGTTGGCATGCTTCACGTACCTCCAATCCGTTGGCATCCAAGCAATCTCTGTGCACCTCGTTCACACCGCACCCGACACGAAAGAAAAAGGCTGGCCGGAATGCTGGCGTAGCTCTGGGTTCCATAAGATTGGGCGCGTGTGGAGTACGTTCAAGATCCGCAGTCTAGTCGGTGCGACAGACGAACTCAGTGTTTTGAACCCGCCCGGACGACGACAGGAATTTGCGACTACGACGATCAAGAACGATAAGCGGACTTTGGATGCGGCGCATAAAGCGTATCGCGATGCGATACCGAAGATCAAGAAACATGGTGTTCAGGGCATGAATTGGACGCTTGTCCTTCAGCCATGTCTGCCTTCTTGGGCGCGGAAGGGCGATGCAAATCCGCTGGGCCTCAACGAAGGATCTGGTGAGCCGCTTGTGAATGTACAATTCACAGTGAACTGGGCATTGGAACAGCATGATGAGGTGGTGAGAGCTATCACTAGAGAGGCGATCGAGCAGATTGATGCTTTTGCCACTGAGCATGGGACGAGTCATCGGTATCGCTACTTGAACTACTGTGCAGCATGGCAAAAGCCATTCGAGAGCTACGGAGAGGAGAATTGGAGATTCTTGAAGGATGTTAGTGGAGACGTTGATCCTGAGGGATTATTTCAGCGTGGTTGTGGAGGTGGCTTCAAGTTAGGGTAGTGAGATCATCTCGCCTCATCGTCATGTATTATGGGGAGTGGGCAAGTGGTTCGGAACAATATAAGATTACTACACGTGCTACAACGGCCGTCTGAAAGAGTCATCATCTGTCATCAACCCTCGTATACTCGTCAACGCCGTCCGCTCTAGGAACACTTCCTCTGAGCCGCTCATGCTACCCCATCCCCACATTATTTATGTCTGAAACGCCATAACACCCCTATTGCAATCGAACTCTCGCTATGCACTCAAGCAACTCAACTAGTCAAGGCCGGCGGCGATCGCGGCAAGCGCCCAGTCCATGAAACCGGCGTTGGTGTCAAGGATGTTGGTGTTGAACTCGGGCAGAGTGGGGTAGAAGTTGGTGCTGTATCCGAACTCCATGGTGAAGCCGTGGATCTTGTTAGCGCCAGACTTGGCGTATGTGCGGCTAGCAGCGTAGTCGTCCGAGGCACCAGAGGTGGCGTAAAGACCGACTGATTGCATGGATGTGTAGTCACGGCCGCCGACTGCTCGCATCGCAGCCGCCGTCTTGGCAGCAACGTTCTTGATGTTTGTCGCATCAGCTGAGGGAATGTACTCTTTGTACGTGGAGTCGCCAAGACGACCTCTCTTTCCGTCATACGCGCTGTTGAGGAAGTTCATGGTGGTGCTGGTGCTCTGAAGCTCATCATCGCCCCAGTTGTACAGGATGTCGCCAGTAGCGGAGTGGATGTCCATGAACCACCTGATCTTTGGGAATGAGTCGTAGATGCTGACGTGGTTCTTGGTCTCAGGCTCTGATGCAGCAGCTGAACCGTAAAAGGCCTCGGAGCTCGGCGAGGTGGAAGCAGGGGATGTGGAGGGGTCGAAGTACTTCTTGAAGTTCCAGAGGAAGTCAAAGTTGCGGTTGATGTCTACACCGACGGAGGCACCGCTAGTGCCAGACCGGGTGTTGCGGTTCTTGCGCCATAGTGATCCTGAAGACTGGTCGTATGCAACACCGTCTGGGTTGACGAGTGGGAAGAAGACGATGCCGGCGGCAAGGACGCTCTTGACTTGAGCATTGGTGTATGATTTGCTACCGTACTTCAGACCGCTTCCAGCCTTGTTCGCGGCGAGGAGATCTGAGATCCAGTAGATGAGCTGATCAGGGCCTCCGCGTTCGCGTGCGTGCATTCCAGCGGAGAGATAAAGGCGGTACTTGGACTTGTCTGTGCCAGCGCCAACGTATCCGGCGGTTTGCGTAGCGCCATTGAAGGTCTTGTATGGCAGAGTGACGGTGCTGATACCGTATCCGCTGACGAGTCCCTTGATGGCAGAGTTGATCTCGGTGGGATTCATGATGCTGCTCATGGTCGATCCCGTAGCCTTGGTGCCAAGACCAGACGGTGTGACTGAACCGCCCGACCAACGGTCGCCAGTGCCGATCGGTGCGGTGGCAGCCCTCTTGCTGAGGTCACGACGGTGTAGGCTGATCTCTGCATGGTTCTCGTACTCTTTGGAAAGATACGCGATTTGGTCCTCGGTCAGCAGGGCGTGGAGCTCGAAATGGCCTTCTTTCGATGGCACCGCCTTGGGTCTGCAGCCGAGATCGTATGTGCCATTGTTGACGATGTCGAGAAAGTGTGCTGGAGAAGGCGCATTGAAATGAACAGGCAGAAGGCTACCGAGTACGGTAGTGCTCTGGAGTATCAGAGCTGCGGCAAGAGCGTACTTCATCTTGAGTCTGCTTGGGGTGAAGAATATGGGGAACGTTAGAATGAAGTTGCCGGTGCTCTACAGTATGTCGTGAAACAACGTTGTTTTTATACATTCCTTCCATTCTGGTGTAACGATCGACCTTCTCCTAATGGCCGGCAGGTGATACTCTAGCATAAACGTGTCGGAGGTGCCATGGTGTCGCCTGCCGCTGATTGGCCGGCTTCGCGAATTACGCCGGGCGCTAACTTGATCTCCTTCTGCTTTCGTCCTGTCTCCGCTGAAACTCCAGATGCACCTGCCCGGGAGGATCAAGTAGATCCAGAGATGCATGGGCAATGAGAGGACCTGCCCTGGGTGATGTGCAGCACTAGATAAGATAGATTAACTGGCCCTGAAAAGCAAGCCCTTCGGGACAAAGTTTAAAGCTGGATGGCCGGACGCTATCGTGAAGCGGTGATTTCCATCTGGGCATTCCAGGGGAAGCAGGTGGCAGGACAAGACGGCTTCACCGAGCATACGGGTGGCCATAGGAGTGACGCTGTGTGGCTATACTGGGTTGCGCCATACTGGGTCGCTTCGGTAATCGATGGGTGTGCGCTCGCACGAAACATCCACGAGGTATCGCGCAATCGTCGGAGTCTGAACACTGATGGCTGAGAAAGGTTGCAAGTCACAAACGTGCAACTTGCGTTTGGTGGTGCGGATACTCAAGCCTCGGGCGATGCGGCCGGGGTATCCGCCGCCAAGAGGGCCACGTGCCTGAGTCTAAGCAGGGGCAGATTGTCCGGCCTCTACGTCACCGTCACGCCAAACAACTCAACATGCTACATGCGACACGCGACATGGGTGACAGACTCTCCCTCTGCAGATATCAGTCGATTGATGAAGAAAGATGCACGACACGCCTGTGACCTTGGTATGCTTTTTACGCGTGTTGGCAAAAAGCAGCTCCGCCGGGGACAATCACACTTTCGCCACCCTATCATGCTTCAAGAATCGAAGATTGCGCCATAAGCCGGAAAACGCCGCCTCTCCATGTCGAACACGATTTCCAGTGTGAATCGCTTGTTGCTGATGACCAGCACAGCTTCTGCGTTATTCCCACCCTACTCATACGTGCACTTATCACAGATCAGACCACATCAATCATGGGAGTAAACGAATGGAGGTGATCAAGCAACGATGCGACTCCATTACACACGCGACCAACGCGCGACCCGGGATGATTAATCGATGCGAATCCGCTCATCAATTCAGCTATGCCTAGGTAGCTAATCAGAACCTTTCTAGGTACCGTTGGCCGGTTGGTGATACTCCACGCCGTCGATCGTCGTGGTCAACGTTCCGTTTGCTTCGAGTATGTTCTTCATTACATCGATCCTTAAATGGAACCCGTCTGGGCCAGTCTTCTTGCTTCCAGTCGCAGCTCCCGTCTGCGAGATGTCAGAGTACCAATCAAGCTTCTGGTCCCACACATTCGGAGTCGAAACCGTCAGCTCAACGTCCTCCCAGCCGTTGATGACGTGCTCGCCGTCATTGCAGAAGTTGGTGTAGTTGGCGGCGACACGCTTGATGGAGTCTGCCTGTGAATGTGCCGTGTCTCCGATGAGATTCACTTTGGCAAACCCAGAGATCTTGCCATGGAGTGTATAGTTGCCTGGCTTTAGTGTGGGTCGCGAAGGGATTTTAGCTCCTGATGGGAACGGCATCGCCCACGGTATGCGACTAGGCACATTATAAACTGGGACTGGACGCGCAGGCTTACGATCGACCATGTGAGCGAGCATGACACGATACTCACGCCCACCTGGCGCAGTGGAGATTGGACACTGCAGCGGATTGGTGCCACCACAAGCTGGGGATGTAACGATGGCCTGCCAGTACACAATCCGCGTGCTGTCCAAAGAGAAAGCCGGGTCCGCTCGGCCGTTCCAGTTCGGATCGTCAAAGCCTGCTTCGCTACCATCGCCTTCTCCGTTGACCTGCTGCCCGTAGTACGACTCACGATCCCCATAACGATCTATCAAGATTGGTTGGAAGAAGCGACGTGGACCATTGTTGCGTGTAGATGCGGCCACAGCAACGGCAACAATGTCGATGAGAGGCGGAATACCTCGCATACCGGACATCCACATTTGGCGTTTGCTGGCACGCGTATCCTGAGTGACGAACCACTGGTTATCGGCAGAGAAGGCAATAGGATCAGCGTAATCAGGGTGACTGGTCAGACGGCGAACAACCCCAGTCTCGATGTGAACCGCATATAGATCGATATTTGTCGACTCGGTCGGCGCACCGATATAGAGTATTTCATCGCCTGAACCACTGAAACCCCGCAGTTCGCCAATTATGATTGACTCGGAGTGAAGCTTCAGCTCCTCACCATCAGCCGTTATGAAAGCTCCGCGCTTTGGATCCACGAGCAAGTCGACATCGACCAGTTCATACCGAGGCGCACCAGGGCCCGAACCTGAGGGCTTCGCATTGAACTCCAGGCGCCCGAAGTAGGAATATTGCCCAGCGTCGTTGGTGAACGAGCTCCAACCAATATGGACATCGTCGGGATGCACACGCAGCTCACGCGGACTGCCACCCGACCAGTGAATTGGATATATGTGGGTTTTGTCAGGCGTACATTCGTCGCTAGCCATCTGCTCCCCGTTGCAGTCGAGGATGTTGTGGCCCCAGATTGCTTTGTCGCCACTTCTGAAGACATGGGGATAGTCCCGTTGTGGATCCAGTTCTCTTGCGTTCTCAGTCGGTACCCCACACGTTAGGCACTTCCATGCATCGCCATTGCTGAAGGTTGAGCTATCAACTTTGATGAGGATGAGCTGGACCCCATCGTAGATGCTCGCCGGGTCGGGAGCCGCGGGAGCTCCAACGAATGTTACCGTGACGATAACATTCCGGCCGTCCGGAGTGAAGTCTCCAGCTTGAAACTTCTCGGTAAGCTCTCTCGCGATGCACCCGGTTTGATTAGGACATGCGCCAGGGTCTTGGCTTGGAGAAACTGGAGGTAAAGGTAGTTCGACGATGTCAAATTTCTCGGGCTTCGGAGGCTTTGGAACGTGTAGCGAGGTGTTGAGAACAGCTTGTTGGTTGTTGTTCCTGGCTGGAAGGTCGTGATTGCTTTGATGCGACGGGGGCAGGCTTGCGCCGAGGGCAGCTGCAGCTGTGTATAAGTGCAGCAATGCCATTCTGTAAACTGTAGCCTTGGCCATGGGAACAGCTTGGGATTGAAGGCATCATGGTGGGTCATGCAGCAGTCGTTTTATAGATGATGGAGGATGAAGCTTGCGGTAGCGCACCTCAATACGCCGGATACGCGATACGCGTACTGTGAGCTTTGACCCCCGCCGCCTTCTTATTGGCCGCGCGTGCTCAGGTGGCCTTCGATCGTAACACCACGCCATACAGCAACGAATCTGAAGAGGTGCTCGGGAGTCTACTTTTACACAAAACAAAGAGTTTTGGGTTGTTTCAAGGTGATATAGCCCTCTGGGCTATTCGCCGAGAGCTGCGCAGAACAAGGCCGAGGCGACTGAGTTCGCACGGTAAACGGACTGGATGTTCGCAAACGCGGCAACCTCTGTAAATCTGGCCATGGGGAGGATCGAAGTGTTGTAACAGCCTCCTTCCTGACACCCAAAGCACGACATCCTTTCCCCTCGTAATCCCAATAGGATACAAAATGACTGACATCCCTGGGAGACTTGCATGGCTTGAGCTTCAAATCATCGTCCGTACCAGCTTCCGGTCGCAGTACTCTTGCATCCAAGAACTGGACTATGAATTTGTCAACTTCGCAGTCGCGCATGGTCTTCAGATTAGGCTCATTCTCTCGGTAGTGCTCCAAATATGCCGCTGCGTATGCGACTGTCGCGCTGATTGCTTTGGGGGTAAGCTTCCGTAAAGACGCCAGCTTAGCTGCCCAAAGCTCATTGGCGTCGACCCGATCCTGTCAGATACTCCAGGACTGGTTGGTAGCTGCGGTGTCGTGTTCCGGCAAAGCTTCTTCTTGTATCCGATAGCGACGTCTCTAACTGCATGGTTCAATAAGAACCATGCAGGCTCCGTCTTGTTCAGCTGCTTTGTCTCGTACAGGGTCAATACGCCCTATTACAAAAAGCGGTTAGCACAAATTGGAAGATTGACGTAGACAGGAAAGTCGGAGAGCTCACCCTGACATCGCGCCATCGGATCTTGGCTTCCTTCTCAGCTGCAAAGACTGTCGCGTTCGGCAGCCATACCATGTCTGGCTGGCGAACTAGCATCCCCGTGTACGTCCGATATAGCGGCTTCTGATCCTTTGACCAGGAGACATACACCGGCTTCCGAACGTCAGGTCCATCCGATGCCTTCTCTTTCTTGCCGTGCTTTTTGGTCAGATAACCGACTTGTACACCCGTCAGCGCGATTTGACGAAGCTTCTGCTCCAGCTTATGAGCGGGTCACTGATGTCGACTTCGTCGTCTTTTGCCTCTTGTTCGGCGATTAGCTCTTCCCACAAGCTAGGGGTTTCGGGATCCCGCAGTATGGTGTCCATTGTGGTAGCTCGCGACGTGTAAGAGAAATTTCCCGTGTTGTATGAAGCTACCGCTTCCCAGACATCCTCTAGTCGCGCGATGTGACCGTCAAGTGAGGTATAGAATTTCTCTCTCTGCTTGGCTTTCCTGCTAGCGAGGTCTTCATATTTATCCCAGAACTGTCTGGCGTGCGTGATGGCGGCTATGGCGGATTTGACATCGTCATCGGGAATGCCGTCTCCATGGGGCCAGTCTTCGGCCTCAGCTGGAGGGGCTGGGGGCCCAGAGCGCTCGTAAATTTCTTGCATCGTTGGGAGTCTGGGTGCGGGAGGATGAAAGAAAGAGTGAAGGTGCAGCGTTGGTGGATATGCCCGCAAACCCAATCGGGGTAAAGGACGTGCACGCGCCCTGTTGGGGCAATCCACGCTAGCTCGGGGTCACCAGAGCCCACCTGGGCGCAGCAATTGCAGTGATCATTTGGACTGGGCGGCACCAACCTCGAGTGCTGCAGGAGATGGCCCATCGATCCGGGCGCCCAGTCATAAGAAAGCCGCGATGGGCCTCAATACTATCGCGGCAAGCAATTCGTTGGGATATGAAACAGTGTCTGCGCAGTAGGCATGAGCTGTTATGTTGCAAGACGTATCACGTTACAAGCACAAAAGTAGGATACTCATCATGATACTGATTTAGCTATGGACGCAAGAGAAAACACAGTCATTAGCTGCAATGACCGAGCCGAGAAAGAGACAAGAGCTACAGCTGCAGACGTGACGAGAAGTAGCTTATTTGGACTGAGAGTGTGAGTGGAATTCATCATGTTATGTAGGGGAGAAACTTACAGCGTGAGACCAGAAGTGGTCGAAGTAGACCTTGGAAGGATGCTCTGCCTTAAGCTCGGCAGGTGCAGCTAGCCGATATGGCATTCCCGCCTTATTGTTGTCCTCGAAGCGACCTGGCAAGTTCGCAGCTTTGCCGTCGGTCTTGCGCACAAGCTCCCAAAGCTGAGCAGCTCGCTCCCGTAGTTTAAGCTTGGTTTCCTCCGAAGGGGGCGAGGAGAGCAGGACCACAGCTTCGTGGAAAGCTTCGGCACGTGTAAGCTTGTCGGAGAGTGGCGCGGGAGGCCGAGAGGTCGTGGCAGAAGCAGCTGAGCTTGGTTCTCCAACAAGCCGCCGAAGCGGTTGCAGCTTATTGTTCCACTTGGCTCCGCGGAGGAAGCCCTGCCAGAAGTAGGCTCGTCGGTGACCTGCAGCGACTTCTTGCACAGCCTGGGAGATGGCGGCAGCCTCGATCGAAAGGTCAAGCTTGGCCTGGAGCTCGCCGCGCATTCTGTAAGACGAAGTTAGTACAAGTGTCAAGTACGGCACGACAGAGACTTACCTCTCTTGCGCACACGCGCTACTAAGCGCAGCACGTCGACTTGCGGAAAGCTCCACATGCCCCTCGGCAGCTTCCTTGAATCTAAGCTTTGCCTCCCTCTCCAACTCCAGCCCAAGAGTTAGCTGCTCGACCTGGGGATGCAGAGCTCGGTTCTTCTCAAGCTGAAGAACTGTCTCGTGGAGCTCGAACAAAAACTCAGCTTGAGCTTCCTGATACTGCTTGAGAAATGCGGCATGTGTTCGCTGTAAGCTCGCGAACTCGGCCTGATCCTTGTCCTTGATGTCGAGGAGCTTCGTGACCAGAGGCGCAGCTCGCTCATCCGTTTCCAAGAAGAAGGAAAGCTGTTCTTCATTCATGTCGCGGATCAGCTCGATCAGCTCAAAGGTGTCGAGCCTGACTGACACGCCGCATTGGGGTCTCGTACCCCGGAATATATCGGGCACACTCTGCGTAGCTTGGGAAGCAGCTAGTGTACTCCGGAGGCCGAAGTTCACAAACTCGCTTCAGATAGGAAGTCAAAGCTGGGTTGTATCGCTCCATGGCGGCGAATTGAAGCTCGGTAGGGTGGATGTGCGAAAGGTCGCACATGTGTCCTATCGTGTGTTAACACATGATACAGAAATGACTCATCTAGAAGGACTTACCTCGAACACAACCACGTGCGCTTCGGAAGAAGCTATAGCAAAGCTTGAGCTTTGCATTTCCCAAAGGTCCAAGGGCTTGAAAAGCTTCCCACATGTTGCTGCGTGAAGCCTTTCTTCGCCGTAAGTGAAGTATTAGAGCTTCGCTAGAAGCTTCTCGCTGAGTGACAGCTATCGTTTGATGAGGAGAAGCTATTGGCGTAGGAGCCATTGATGGCGTAGCTCCAGTAGCTGAAGCAGGCCTATGGTCGAGCTTGAGGTGACCGCCGGCAACAAGCGCCTCAGTGTAATCTCCAAAGAACATCTCCGCAGCTGCGCAATGTTGATATTCCCAGGCGTGGAACTAGTTGTAGTCGTTAGCATGTCGTGAGTTCAGGTAGATCACACGAGCTTACGTTCAGATCGGTAGCGTGATCCACGATCAGCTTCAGAAGTCGCCTTGGAGATGGAGGTTTGACCGTGAACGGCAGTCCAGCTAGCAGCTCTTCGTCGAGCTGTGCAGCTGCATTGTCGACCAACTTCTGTAGACGTGGGAAGGCCATTGTGGGAATTCGAAGCGGGTTTGAGAAAGACGAGAGATTTTCGGGAATTGCGTAGTGTGGGTGATTAAGTGAGAGACTGGCGAAGAGATTTCGGGAACAACAACAACAATGCCAAGACATACAAACGGCAGTCACGTTGACCCACCATTACTCATCACCATACCACTAGCAATCATTTCAAAGATGCTTGCAAAAGGGGATAGCACATTTTATCCTCCTGGCCCCGCTAGTATGCTCGCGCCTCCCAGAAGTGACTGCGTCGTATCCCTCACGGCTCTTTCACTTCCACTGGCCAGCACTCGGGGCAACGAATTGTCAGATGATGGAGGTTGATCTCTTATTCCAAGGCTTGAAGACCCTGGAGAGAGTGACATTGTGTCAGGGCTCTTTGATGCAGCAAACGCACCTGCGTACCGGCGCCCGTGTAAGTCAGGATGCCGTACCTAGCTGTTTAGTTGTAATGTTGATTGGAATGTACCCAGGCAGGCAATAGCTGGAACTGACAAATTACCGCTCATAACAGAAGGGTCTACGCATTCTGAATTTAAGAAGCTGTGCGCATGCGTTTTTTCCGGTGCTGGCGCTGATGGCAAGCTCGCTTTCATAAGCCTTCTGCCTCTGGGTCCAACTAGGGATGGAGTCATGAGTCGCCTTATGACTGTGAGCTACCGAACCGTCATATTCTATTTATTGAAACACTATGTCTCTTTACTTTGTATTCGGGGTTCGCGTGCGTGGCTTTGTGTGGTGATGTTGGCCGTGACTCAGAAGAGCAACGAGGCGAACCGCTGTTTTGGGTGGCGCTGCGCCCTTTTGCTGACTCCGACGTCGAAACAGTACCTTTAATATTCGAGGCGTAGTCTTCGCGCACCAATGATAGCCCTCCGTCGAGAGCGCATCTGAGCTCGTCTGAAGTTGCGGTACCGTGAGCGGTTGGCTGTTCAGATAATAGGTCGTCATCGCAGAGTGCGCGTTATGATCGCATACATGGATCGCAATCCAATATAGTCTTAGAATGACAAGCGCATTCTAAGACTCACAGGAGCTGGTGTTCTTCCGCACGCACATATAAAGTGACTCGTCCCGTCCAACGTTGCATGACGAATCTACTACCTGGACGAGAGACCCTGTTCAACACCAACACAAAGACTTCGCTTCTCCGACAAGACCAACAAGACAATCCAAAGGTCACAAGAAGTTGCTACGGTTGTCAAATTTTTCTCTCAACACCACTCATCGACCCACAAGCTACCGCGTCATCTCAATGTCTACCACCACCAACAAGGCCGAACAAGCCGTCTCTTACGCCGCCTTGATCCTCGCCGACGAAGGCATCGCCATCACCCCCGAGAAGCTGCAAGCACTACTCAAAGCCGCCGGCATCGAGGACGTCGAGCCTATCTGGACCACGCTCTTCAGCAACGCTTTCAAGGACAAGAACGTCAAGGATATCATCCTCACCGCGACCACGGCCACATCATCCGGTCGTGGTACCGCTTCCGACATCAAGGACGATGGAAAGACAACTGGGGAGGATGACAACGATGAGAAGGACGGAGAGGAAGGTATCGATATCGACGCGGACTCGGATGATGGGTCTGCATTTGGGGATTTGTTCGGCTAAGCAGCCAGCGGTACAGGGTAGGAGACTACGGAAGAAGGGAGAGGAGCAATATCGTCTTTCTGGTTGGACTAGGAGGAGGGCGAGAGTTTTGAGATGCTACGTTAGTTGCGCAACAAACAAGAGCATCTTTCTCTCGCAAAATCTGCTACCTGCTTCATGTGCATCTGACTGGCCCTGGGGCGCGCAGCGTAAGATGCTGTTCGGCTTGATCCGTAATGTTCAAAATGAGCTGAATGCTGCCTGCTGACACTCCAATGGCTTAACGCCGCAACCTGCATACATGCTTCCGTCCTGGTCTCGAAGCACTGCGACTGTAAAGCTGTGAAGTAATCATGCCGTATCAAGCATCTGCGGACGTGGCGCTTTACTTGGCCAATATAGCTGGTTGCTGTGAGGAGATCTGCTGAGCTTCGAGTTTGAGGGTGAAGATGCGCGCTTCCTTCGCGCAGTCGGCAATGCGCTCAGACCTGCCGCTGATCATACATCGAACTGATTCAGATACCCTAATGCCAGGACACCGGAACGAGTAGTAAGCATTCAACATGAAAGCACTTCGCAACAAGGAAGAATGTTCGGTATATGGACGTCAAGCGACCTGTGCAAATCGTATGTTTTTCGTAAGAGATGCGAGTAAGTTGTGTGTTTGAACATTCATCCTAGGCCTTGCCGCAGTGCGACGTGATGTGGTTCTAGAGTCCCCGAGCTAAGACCGACCAAATATTAAGCTTTTGATTGCGACAACCCGCGACCCCTGCTCGATCTGCAGCCATCTGAATCGGAACCCACGCCCAAGGAATTGGTGAGAACTCTCACCCCGCAAGAGCTTGCTGACAGTCAGCTCGGGTCCGTACATTTGGGTCAAGACACCCAAACTGGACGGGCCGCTGTGGCGGCTGTAGACAGAAGGTTTCTGTAATACAATTGCGCCATGATGAGCTTTTTGGCTTCCAGGGTGATGAGCAAAAGTGCTGTGGCGTGTCGAAGTAGTGCCGCCGGCCTGTGCATAAGATGTGCACGCGATCGAGGAGCGCACTGTGATTCGGTTCGGCGCATTCCGAGACAGCAGGCTAAAGTAACATACGACTGGTAGGTGACATCTGTAGTATTCTGATATCAAATAAAGCGCACCGGTTCTTTTCTGGATCGGTCGACCTTGAGGTCAAACACGTCGGGTCGCTGATATCCACCAACTACATCATGGTATTGTTTGCCCTCGATGCAGTCGTCAAGATTCATGTCGGCATACAATATGTCTTCTTGATCTTGCAATGCGGATACATATTCCCTCTCCGCACCGTTGTAGGTGAAGCTAGGCAACGGCGCGCCGGTAGGGTCCAGGAAGAAGGTCGCAGCTCGAGGCATAGTGTGTAGGGTCTCGGCTACCACATCCGCCTGACTTGCACCCTCGATGATCGTTCTGATAGCATCTTCACCAAGGTGGCCTGAGCATGCTACACCGAAACATTTTGCTTCAAAGCAATGTGCTGCAGCACGGGTCTTGTTTGCGGCTAAGTTGTCATAGTTTTTTCCACGCGCAGCGCTTGGACTCGACTGCAAACTGCTATCGTCGGCGGTTTGCTCGGCGGTTTGCGCTGTGTGACGCGAAGTTCTTGTCGGCCATATCGTCGGCCAAGTTGATATATGAATTTGCTCTGCTTGCGCGATCAAAGAGTACCTTGCAAGTGCATTAGTGTTTTCGCCACAGATTAACGCGCCGATACGCCCGTATTGCGTGTTAGCAACACGAAGCCCATAGCCGTCACCGCTACTCCATGTGAGTTTTTCGAAGAAAGTCGGGACCAGCTTTCGATGGTGAACTAGGACTTCGCCTTCGGTTCCAATGAAGATGTTCGAATTGTACAAGCAGCCGTTGCTGTGTCGCGACCTTTCGCTGAAGCCGATGCTCACTAGGATGTTATTCGACCGAGCCGCTTCGCGCAATGCCTCCATTTCATCGCCATCAGCATAGATAGATTCTTGTACCATACGCTGGAATAGGGAGTGATTTTCAGTAGGGGGCCGTAGAGAACTCCAGATCGGAAAGGCAGAGATGTAGGTTTCCGGAAAGACCACGAGGTTGGCCTTGTTGGATGCCGCTTGTCTGATGAAGGATAGGGCTTTATCTGTTGTTTTGCGTGCATTGAGAAAGACAGGTGACGCGTGACAAGCCGCAACGCGTAAGCTGCTTGCCGACGGAAGGCTTCTTCTGTTTGTGCTCGTGTCTGTGAGTGAACAAAGAGGACAGTGTTGATGGTAGGCATAACCCCGCGTTTGCGGCACGAGTTCCCCGCACCTCTTGGAACCACGCAACCAGTTCATGTTGTCCTTACGAGCTTTGCAGGCTCAACGGTATTCAGTAATTGAGCTTGCTGCATCGCTGGAGTGTTGCATGATCTCTGGTCGTCTCTCGGTTCCCAAAGCGGCTGTCACTACGCCAAGAGGAGGCATCGTTTCACGGACGGAATTTACGCAAAGCGTTGCCTTCACGAAGCCCCCTAATTTCGTACGCTCAGAAGAGAAAGCCTCATCAGCCAAGCCATGGTCGATGTCCTATTAAGAGGCATCGCATGCGATGCTGTGCAGGGAGCGAGCAAGGGAAGACGGAGATGCGACCTGGGCGCAATCGGATTTGCCCGGTTCCCTGGCGGATGGGGCTGACACCCGTTCTTCCAACTATGAATGTGGAGTAAAATCGATACACAGCGTTGACCTGGGATGTTCGCCGTCGGTGGATAGACAGATGTGAGCAGGAACCCGTGGCCCGGTGGACGAGAGCCTTGGCCGTTTCGCGCTAACCCACTAGCGTATTCAGGCTGTAAATTATCTGGGCCACTGTTCACTCCTTCATCGTTCCTCAGTATCATGTATAATCCACACACGTCTGTTCGCGCGAGAAAAGATTCTTCAGTAGGCGGTTAGGGGACGTGTGACTGTGCCGACATTGAAAGACCTGCATTACAGCCCACTGGAGTACAGGCGTAGCTTCGGAGCGGCGATCGGATGCGGTAGCACCGTAAGTACAACATCAATCGCAGAGAGTAGCCAATTTCCTGAGATAACGAGCATTTTTCAGGAAGTCCGGTATGCACATGGCCCGATGCAGCATGTGTGTACGATCGATGTTGCGACCTCGGGCCAAGGACAGCAATTAGCCGCCTTGCCACAACGCCCGACCAGAGCACACATGACACATGATCTTGATCATCGTTACGTTGCCGTATTGATGAATCATCTCATTTTGATCTCAACATGATCCATTTGAAGTTCGCCAGGAAGCAAAAGGTTGTGATAACTCAGTATAGTCGTAATCCTGATGGGGGGATAACGACGTTGGCTGCATCATTCATTCATCATTAATCGGCCAGAGCATAGCCCGTCGCTATATCGCCATCGGTGACCGATGTAAGGCTTAGTGAAGCAGCGGAATCAAGGCGCTGCTTGCTTTGTCACCAAGCTGAGAAGTTGGAAGGCGTTTCAGCCTAGCTCGTGGGATAAGTGACGTTCCAGGTCCGGCAATGTGCCGAGCAACCTGGGAATCCCACGGCAGTGACCGAAGCCACCTTCCACGTTTCGAGCTGGTTCCGGTACCTCAATTTCAGGAACTGTGCAGCCATTATCAATCTACTGACCAATCAAGCTACCGCGACGGCACCGATTGATGTGAAATTCCGCTGTGGGTCACCCGCGTGCCTGGACTGACAATCCTGACATGAACCACATCGGTCCGATGCAGCTTTCTGTGCCCTGTGCGTCCAATTCATGCTAAACAACAACCCAGTCGCGACCGCCTCTGGAGCGCTTGGCAACACAGCGGGACGTAGTGGTGCTCCACTTTAGACGTTTTGACAGGATTGTTTATCAGATGAAGGGACTTCGCGGCCCTTCTCCGATGACGCAAATGGTTTCGAAACCCAAGTTGGCAAGTAGCGCCATGTCAAGTCCAGTTTGGCACAGATGGTGTGCAGGCAAGGGTTAGATGGCATGCAAGATCTTGTGCCCAGAGTGACTTGCATGCCGAGTAGGCACAGCACTGCCTGTTCCATGTCTCCCAGGCTTGACTGAGGGGGTATAAGAGTCTTGGGATCTTCCACTCATCCCATCTATCACCCAAAGTCGATCTTTCCTGCTCTTAGATACCCCAACAGTACTCGCTCAAGATGCGTTACTCACTCCTTGCTTTCGCTACTTGCGCTCTGGCAGCACGCCCTTTCCTCAACGAACCCGATACTGGTATCGACGACCAGTTGGCTGGATTCGTCGCTAATGACACCCTACCTCCTCTCAAGTCTTTGGTCGGTCTGCCAGACTTCCAATGGGTCGGCCGCCAGCACATGAACACCTCCGCCTACACATACTACCGCAACGGAGCGGCTGGCGAATGGTCATACCGCAACAACCTCGAAGTCTTCTCCCGCTACCGATTGAGGCCTCGCGTCCTCCGCGACATCACCAACATCCAAGCCTCCATGCCCACGACTATTCTCGGCCACAACTTTTCAGCGCCCTTCTTCATCTCCCCATGTGCACGCGGTGGATATGCCAACGAGGATGGTGAGCTTGGGCTCGTCAAGGGTGCCGGCGAAGGCGACATCCTCTACATGACCTCGCTCTACTCGTCCAAGAGCTTGGAAGACATCTACGCCGCTCGCCCCAACGGTTCAGAGCAGGTCTTGTTCCAACAAGTCTACCTTGACGGTGACATGAACGACACCCAGGTCCTCTTCAAGAGGATCGAGGATCTCGGCGCGAAGGCTATTGTCCTGACTGTCGACTCTCCCGGTGATGGTGTCAGGCACCGTGCTGCCCGCTACGGTGTCGGTTCTGCCGACGTCAACCTGAGTCTCCTGACATGGGATCTGTACCAGCAGCTGTCCAACATGACCTCCCTACCCATCATCCCCAAGGGTATCCAGACCGTCGAAGACGCTCGCGAGGCCGTCAAGCAGGGCGTAAAGGCCATCTTCCTCTCCAACCACGGCGGCCGTCAAACCGACACTTCG